AGTAGTAGTAGCAGCAGCAGTAGTAGTAGTAGTAGTAGCAGTAGTAAAGCAGTAGTAGTAGCAGTAGTAGTAGTAGTAGTAGTAGTAGTAGTAGTAGTAGTAGTAGTAGTAGTAGTAGTAGTAGTAGTAGTAGTAGTAGTAGTAGTAGTAGTAGTAGTAGTAGTAGTAGTAGTAGTAGTAGTAGTAGTAGTAGTAGTAGTAGTAGTAGTAGTAGTAGTAGTAGTAGTCGTAGTAGTAGTAGTAGTAGTAGTAGTAGTAGTAGTAGTAGTAGTAGTAGTAGTAGTAGTAGTAGTAGTAGTAGTAGTAGTAGGAGTAGTAATATTTGCAGCTCCTTTGACTTTCTTGGACGAGGGCGCCAAAAGGCCAAGGCGCAGTGCATACGGATAAAACCGAGCCTCTAGGCGCCAGATTTTTATCCATATCCAGTTCGCCTCGGGTTTCTCGCGAAGGGAGCCCGAAACTCCAAGCTGCAGTTGATGTGAACTCAAGTCTTGCTCGTAATTCTGACTAAGGTCCCGACTCCACCTGACATCTCTCCGATTCTGGCTTCCGTATCCGCATGCGTTGCTACATATCTCCCGCTCCGGCTCCTGGCGTTGCCCTCCGAATTCGGCTCCCATTTGGCCCGCAGTATCCCGACCATCTATCAATGAGCGGCCGTCCGACATTCATTCGATACTTTCCCCACCTTCTTTCTTCCCTTCCTCCACCAGTCTGCGCTCTGTGGTGTCGCAGTGTTTCATCATCATTTCTGCGCAGGGTCTTCCCGGTCTGAGCGTGCTCCGCCGCCCGCGGCTGCCCCGACCGTGTTTTGGACCCCGCTTCTCCTCGATTTCGCACGCGGGTACTTGTCCGGGAGCGTCGGCCCCACCCTGCAGCACCCCCGCGGTGCAAGACGCAGGTCGCGTCTTCCACTCGCTTCCTTTCTCCAGGCGCTGCTGCTCTTTCCTCCTCCGCCCTCCCCCTTCCCTGCTTCTCCTGGTCTTCCCCCTTCGTCCCTGCTCCTCCCCCCTCACTTCTGCGCCTGCATCCCTCCTGCCCCCCTCCCTCCTCCCTCCTCCCTCCTCTCTCCTTCTTCCTGCCCCACTCGTAGCTCATAGCTGGTGGCGTGTGGGTCATCCTGGCGCTGCCTCCCTCTTCCCCCCGCCTCTCCCTCCTCAGTGCCCGTTTTTGCTCAAGCGCTCTCGTTGCCGCGCACCTCCCGCTTCCTCCGGGCTGCCCCAATCATGGCGGTGCACATCAACGCCGCGAAGATCAGCGACGGCACCGGGCGCGATACGTATATTGACCGCGTGGACGAGGTACAGCGCGGCCGCGAGATGCTGGTGACCATGTCGCCCACGAGGATGTTCAAGCACTGGGACCTTCGCTCGCCGTCGCCCCCGCGCTCCTCGCCGAACGGCCTGACCATGGCGGACATGATGCGCACCAAGCGGCCCTGCTCGCACTCCCGTGGCGGCAGGGGCTGGCAGCCCAGCCTGAACCTGGACGACTGCCGCCGCACGCAGCAGTCGCTCGCTTACTCGATGCGGTCGTCGTCCCGCGCCTCCTCGGTGGGAGGCTCCCGGCGCCGATCGCCGCTGGACGTCGCGATGCAGGAGTCTGCGTCGCTCTCGGGGTCCCTCCGCAGCACGCAGTCCCCGAAGAGCGGCTGGCCGCAGAGCCCCCTCGCCACGGCCATCCGCGCCGGCCGGCGGGCGGACCGCAGCAGCCCCAGGAGCGGTGGCACGACCAGCATCGCATCTGCCTCCAGGACACTGCCAGGAGGGAACAAACTACACACAGACACACTTGAGCGTCGATTCCCGAGAAAATGCGGGAAAAGGTGGGAAGTGGGTGGGGGGGGAGACGACAATCCAGATGATATGGGAGGTTAAGGGGGATCCTGGGATTCGTGAGTATTTACTTGTGTGCACCTGGGCCCCCTCGGTATGCGCGGCCTTCGGGGGGCGGCCCCCAGGCCCAGGCTCGAAGGGCGGCCGCTGTCCCAGGTCACCCGCAGGGGCGCGAAGATGGTCGCGCTTCGCGCATCGCTGCAGGGGCTGGCGAGGTGTTCAGACGGGCCTGTCCCTCTACAGGAGGAGTACTCAAAAGTAGCCCCAGAACAGTCTGGGGACGATTTTTTTGGACTATTCTTGACCATGGTCGGAGTATTGTCTGACTCTCTTTCATTTTTCGCTCAGTAGGAGGACGTGCCCGACCTAAGGGCAGTGCCCTTCTCCGGGGCGGCGGCGCGAGGGCGCGGAGGTGGCCGCGGGGCGCGCGAGGCCGGCTGGCCCGGCCCGTCGCGCCGCGGGGGCGGGGTCGGCAGGCCCCGCTCGCCGCGGGGCCGCTCCTCGCCGCTGCCGCGCTTCTCCCCGGGACCTCCTCCTGGGGGTCGGAGGGCACCAACTATACACCAACACCGATCCTGGCCCAGGATCACCCTGGGCCCAGGATCGGTGTATATGCCTTCTTGCGCAAGGCAGGAGGGCGTATACACCGATCCTGGGCCCAGGGTGACCCTGGGCCAGGATCGGTGTTGGTGTATAGTTGGTGCTCCGACCCGCACCTCGAGGCGAGGCCGGCGGTGGCGACGAGGGCCTCCTGGGCGGCCCCAGAGGTGGAAGACGAGGCGACGGCAGCGGCCGGGCCGAGGTGTAGAAGGCCGAGGTCGGTTCGGGGAGGGCGACCTGGTGTTCTTTGTGTCTGTTGGATGCTCTCCTGCATCCTGGGGAGGGTACCCTTGGCTGTTCTGTGTGTTTTGGCCCGCGGAGGGTCTCATGTTCCTGACGAATGTTCTTCTGTCTTCGGTCCGACTGTAGCGGTATGGGTACCTTTTCCAGGCATGCGACGTCCTGATTTTTCCAATGCGCGGTCCCCAGAAGTCCAGACCCTTTCCCTGGGGCCCGTCTTTCATCCCGAGCCGTCTTCTTGCGGTCGCGGGGCCCGGCCAGGTCCCCCGAGAGCCGAACACGGCCATGAACTCGCCGTCTTGTTTTCTCCCGCGACGCGACCATGTCTGGGCTTCCTCCTCTGACCTGGAGCGAACGAAGGACGGTCGCACACGTACGTGATAATCCACCTCGGTTTCGAGAGTGCGCGTGGCGCGACGGTTCGCATCGAGAGGCTGGTGTCGCGGATTGGGGGGCCGTGCTTACGTAATTATGCGACTGTGCGCGGACGCCCCGCCGTGAGATCCAACGTAGCGAAGCAGATGCAACATCACAACAAATCACGCCCTGAGCCCCAGACCCCACCTTCCTGCGGCATTTTTCGAGCCGGATCCACCTGCGAGGGTCCCGGGGCCCGAAGACAGGCGGAAGAAGGGCCGGGCTCGACGAGACCGAAGCGCTCGGACCTTCCGCGCCTCCGCGTGCGGCCCGCAGGAGCATGTTCCACACGCACAGCGGCGCCTGGAGGCCGGCGTCGTGCGCGTGACGCGCGGGGCCCCGCCCCGCGCCGCGGAGGGCAGGCTCCAAAGGGGGGGGGGCGAAGAGCGCCCCTCGGCCTCCCCGCGGCGGCGCGCACGGAGGGGGCGGGGCGAGCGGCCCCCGGAGCTGCCCGGCGCTTGGAGCCGACTGGGGGCCCGAGGTGGGCCCAGCGCGCGCTGGTTCCGGGCCAGCGGGAGGGGGTCCAGGGGGGCTAAGCCGGCTATCTAAGCGTCTCAAACATCCGGTGGCGGACGCGAAAAGTGCGAAAAGTAGAAAAGTGCGAGAAGTGCGAAAAGTAGAAAAGTAGAAAAGTGCGAAAAGTGTCGGAAAGTGTGAAAAGTACGAAAAGTGCGAAAAGTAAAGTAAAACAGCGCGAAACATACGAAAAAATCGAAGAGTGCGAAAAGTAGAAAAGTAGAAAAGTGCGAAAAGTGCGAAAAGCTCGAAAAGCGCGAAAAGTAGAAAAGTGTGAAAAGTAGGAAAGCGCGAAAAGTGCGAACGTGCGAAAAGTAGAAAAGCGCGAAAAGTAGAGAAGCAGAAAAGTGCGAACATGTACAAAAAAGTGTGAGAAGGACGAGGTGCGAGAAGCACGAAGCAACACAATGCAACAAGTTGAGAAACGCTAGGTGCGAACAACAAGAAAGTCGAACCCCGATAAAACGGGGAACGTGCGTTTGAAACTTGCGATAATAACGAAAGGCAGCAAAGCGGGACTTGCGAGATAAGAGCGAACGTGTAATGATAAACGCTTTGGGAAGGAACCGCATTTTTAACAGCGCGCAGCGCGAGAAGCAGGACAAGTTCGAATCGCGCGAACGGTTCAACATATTCTAAAAGAAAAACAAAGGAGCGGCAGGAGGGGCAGGAAGATGAGGCGTGGCCGTGTTCCACATGTGTTTTTCTTGTGTTTCGCTTGTCCTCGTATGGAGCAGGTTTTTTTTTTTTTTTTTTTTTTTTTTTTTTTTTTTTTTTTTTTTTTTTTTTTTTTTTTTTTTTTTTTTTTTTTTTTTTTTTTTTTTTTTTTGTTTTTTTTTTTTATTATTATTATTTAAAAAAAATATTATTATTATTATTATATTTAAAGTTTTTCGAAATACAGTGGAGACCCATACCAAGAAACACCCTGCTTGCCTCCAGGGTGCCCTGGGTTTCTTAGGTCTCGATGGTTTTGCCAGGGAGAGCGCGACGTTCGCGCACCAAAATCCATGGACGTCCTGGGGTCTCAGGGTTGGGTTTCTTGTGCGATGTTTCTTGTGGTCGAGCCCCTGCTGTAGTTGCCGAGCGCGTTCAGAAACCTCGATCCGTGTCCAGTTCGCTGCCCGCATATTTGGGAACACGCCTGCTCAGGTGCACTTCCCGTCTAAGTCCCCCCCCGTTTTTCTCAGCAGCTACGTCCATCGGTTGCAAAGCAAGAAAGGAGGGAGACGGGATCGAAGACACCTCCGGCGAATCACCGCCGCCCCTTGCCTTTTTGGAAAGCGCCTCTGTGGCCAATCGTTGGGCCACAGCTGGGCCAAGCTGCCGGATGGGGAGGAGGAGGGGGACGGGGGAGGATGGGGAGGAGGAGGAGGAGGAGGAGGAGCAGGACCGCGGCACGAGGAGACTGAAGGGGAGGAGGAGGAGGAGGAGGAGGAGGAGGAGGAGGAGGAGGAGGAGGAGGAGGAGGAGGAGGAGGAGGAGGAGGGCAGGAAGGAGCGGACCATGATAAGGAGAATGACAAGTTGTGCTTTGGGGCTGTGTTGTGGTGATGGGTTTTTTCGAGGACTCGTGATGCCTTCTTGGCGCCATCTTGGGGTCCTCTTGGGGTCCTCTGGGGGCCCTCTTGGGGCTTTTTGGAGGTGTCCAGGGGGCCCTCTTGGTGCTCTTTGGGAAGCTCTGGGAGCGCCTCTTGGGGCAATCTTGGGCCCCACTGTTCAAAAACAGGTAGGCGGCTGCAATTCAGGCCCCCGCCCCTCGGAGGCTCAAAAAGAGCGTCTTGGGGCTCTCTTGCGCCGCTTTTGGAACGCTCCTGAGCGCTCTTGGAGCCGTCTCGGGGCCCTCTTGTGGCCAACTTGAGGCCTCAAGAGCCCATCGGAAGCGAAAAGGCGAGAAGGCAACGCACATATGTCTTCTGTTGGTTTTTGACAAGTTTGGGCCTCTTGGGGATCTTCGGAGGGCTCGGAGGGCACTCGGAACCGTCTTGGGGCCGTTTGGGGCCGTTTTGGAGCCTCTTGGAGGCATGTCGGAAACTATCTTGGGGGCCATCTTGAGGTATAACTTTATTGAGCCATCTTGGAGGCCATCTTGGCCTTTCCGACACCCTCTTGGGGCCATTTTGGGCCAAAAAGAACGCCTTGACACCTCGTGCGGGAGCCCGTCCAGACCCATGGAGGAGGGGGGTAACACCTCCTGAGCAGAGGGGGGGAAGGAGGTTGGAAAAGGAAACGCCCTAGACCACCTGCGCCCTAAAGGGCTGGTGGGATATACTTCCGCTTTGGATGCGTTTCTGGTCTTCATGTTTTTCGCCCGGCTATTGCGCGCGTCCCGTGTTCTCGGTATTCTGTGGTTCGCGTTTCTCTCGCTCGCGTGTGTTTTACATGTTTTCCGCTGTTCGTGTTTCTCCTATTCGTTTCCGCGCGTTGCGACTCCCATGTCAAGAAAACAGAAGAGGAAGAAGGATAACCGGGTATTCCGTGACATGTATATCTCCGCTTTTCTCTCTCCGGATTCTATTGGTTTTGCAAATGTTAGCAGGATTGTTTGCCAAGTTTCTCATTGCTGATTTCTCACAAAGAATTGACTTCTCAGCGTTCCGTAGGCTTCCGCGTCTCGGTCTTCCGATTTGATGTGTTACTGTGTCCTCGTAGTTTCACATTTGTTTCGCTGTTCTCGCTTTTCTCCACCGACGGCGCCTTGTTGTCTAAACTTTTCGCGTTCGTTGCGCGTTTCGTGCTTTTTGTTGCACCTTTCGCGCGCCATTCGAACACTTCGCGCTCTTCGGCCTCTTGTGCGCATCGCTGTATCCATTTTCGCGCTTCTCTCGCTTCTCGCACTTTTCGCGCTTTTCTACTTTTCGAGTGCGTTTCAAATGTTTCGCGCAACTTTTCGCACTTTTCGCACTTTCCTACTTTTCGCGCTTTTCGCACTTTTCGCACTTTTCGCGCTTTTCGCGCTTTTCTACTTTTCGCACTTTTCGCGCTTTTCGCGCTTTTCTACTTTTCGCGCTTTTCGCGCTTTTCTATTTTCGGGGCGGCCACCTGATATCAAGACCCGGATCTAAGCAGCACAGCAGGGGGGGGGGGGGGGCAGGTCCGAGGTGCCGGCTTCGAGGAGCTCTTCTGCCTTTTTCGGCCTCCAGGGGCCGTCTCTGGGCTCCGTGAGTGTGAGAAACGGATCTGGGGTGAAAAGCTGCGCCAGATGGGCCGCGGGAGGGGTCCAGAGAGTCCTTTTGAGCGGATTTGCTACCTTCCCCCCCCCCCTTTGATCGATTTTCGGGGGCCCCCTCCAGTTCAGAGCCCCCTAGCCGCCGCCAAGGCTTAGGAACCGCCAGGAACCAAGAGCGGCCCTGGTTCCTGGAGACCTGTTGCTTTATCCCCCGGCAACAACGGGCGTGACCTGGCGGGGTGGGGGAGGGGGCCGGTCACGTCACGATTCGGGCCAGCGCCGCCTGGGAGTGACTGCTTAATAGTGGATCACTCCCAGACGGCGCTGGCTTGAAGCGTGCTGTGGCCAGGGATGGGGACGGGGGGGCGGGGCCGGCGGTCACGGGCGCTGTCGCGAACAATCCGAGAGCGGGCTCCTCAAATTCGGGGCGCGGGGCCTGATCGTGGCCGAGGCTCGCCGTGGCCGGGAACGCGCTTTTTCGCCCCTGATGAAGCGTTCCGTTGGGTAGCACGATGGTTGTACCAGACGCCGTGTTCTTCCACAGCGTGTCTCACTGGAGGTCAAGACCCCCTCCCGTGGACGGTTTTTTCATCCCGAGCCGTTTTCTGACGGTCCCGGGGCCCAGCAAGTGCCCGATGGAGGCCGAATCGTGCCAAAAATTGGTAATCGTGGTTCTTTCACGGCGCGAGGGTCATTTCCTCCGTTTCCATAGGATCACAAAGCGACGAACGACAAAACACATTTTTCCATACCTAGGCTCTGCCTAGAAGGGTTCTTACTCTCTTAGCTTAAAGGGGCCGGGCAGTGGAACACGCCCCGGGCGGTTCCCCCAGTCCCCTGGGAGCGGTTCCCCCCAGTCCCCTGGGAGCTTTAGCTTTAGCTTTATCTTTAGCTTTAGCTTTAGCTTAGCTTTAGCTTAGCTTTAGCTTAGCTGTAGCTTAGCGTTAGCTTAGCGTTTCGCTTAGCGTTTCGCTTAGCTTTTCGCTTAGCGTTTAGCTTAGCTTTAGCTTAGCTTTAGCTTAGCTTTAGCTTAGCTTTAGCTTAGCTTAGCTTAGCTTTAGCTTAGCTTGCTTTAGCTTAGCTTTAGCTTAGCTTTAGCTTAGCTTAGCTTAGCTTAGCTTTAGCTTTTAGCTTAGCTTTAGCTTAGCTGTAGCTTAGCTTTAGCTTAGCTTTAGCTTAGCTTTAGCTTAGCTTTAGCTTAGCTTTAGCTTAGCGTTACTGTTACTACTAATGCTGCTTTCCTAGGGGTTCCAACTCCTAGGTAGGGTCGCACTGGGATAATTTCATATGGTTTTTTAGAGAATGAAGCCGAGGCGCTCGCCAAGCGTCTCAAACGCTGTCAGCTTTGACGCCCCCCCCCCAGCGGTTGTGCGCGGTCTCTCAAGGGGGTGGGCGAGGACCAAGAGTCGAAATCCATGAGCAACGCCTGGGCATCGTTTTCAGACGGGATGATGGGGGCGCGCGAAACGTTGAAGGTATGGAAGATGGGTTCGGTTGTGAAGGACCCCAAGCATGGTAAAGAGCTCGAATCAAACTCTGAATCTGACCGTGAAGGACACCAAAACGAAATGACGACAAAACAAAAGGGCGGACAACAACAAAAACGTCCGACGACCAAGAAAAAGAGGTCGACGACAATTCCAGACGACAAGCCAGCGACAGAAAAAAAGGCGGTCGACGACAAAACCCGACGGCGGCGCAGAGCCGCGACAAAATCCGAAGTGGCGACGACAAATTGCTTCTGGAAGACTTGCAACAAAAATTGCGGAAACGCCGTTCGCACGGTAAACTCACATGGAACGTTGACCGCGTGGCAAATTGCCACGCGGTTTGGTCGGGCGATTTGTCGTCGCGCATTCCGTGCGCCCGGAAGGCTCGCGCCCGCGCTGTGATTCCCCGCGCGCGCTGATGCCATCGCGTGCGCCTCCGCTGCGGGAAAACCGCGGGGCGCGCGGCGCGCGCCACTCGCGCGCGCGCAAGGGGGGATGACGCGCGCGCGCAACAAAGTCGCGACTCACCAAAAACAGCGCGTAGTCCGTCCGCGTTGCACACGGCGCGAGTCCAGCGTCAACGCGAAAACCGTGATTCGGGGCGGGTGGTGGTGTCAGAGTTGAATTCGCACATCGTCCAACGCAGGTCGGCTCGTCTCATTCGAGTATTTTGCAACTAAGCTCATTTTTTGTTGCCAAGCGAGTTGTCAGTGGATCCTGCCTGATATGTTACGAGGATATTTGGGAAGCCAGAATTGAGCGTCACAGAGAAGCAGGTTCAACTGCGCGGACATTCGCACGTCAGCTGCCCGCGCAAGGTTGCGCGTAAGCGTCCTCCTCTCCACGCGGTGTGCCACGCTGACGGCCCGCGTAAAAGCCACCGCGCAAGGTTGCCGTGCCGTCGTGCGTAAGACCCAGGGAAAAGGGCTTCTTCGAGAACGGCCCCCCCTCTTCCAAAGCAGGCTCTTCAGGGGCCCGTGCGTCTGACATCGTGTTTTTCCCGACGTGGCTCCCCAGAGGTCGGGGCCCCTCCCCTGGCAAGAGCTTTCCATCCTAAGTGGTGTTCTGATGGCCCCGCGGGGCCTTTTTTTCTTGCTTCGCCCACGTGCAGCGGCCAGCTCGGGCGAGAGCTGGATGCACGCTGCGGCCGTGCGCTTCTCCCGTGCGCTTCTCCAGCGCTCGGCCGTTTTGTGGCCAGGCACCGAGCACGCGGCCTCGTTCTAGGTGTTCCACGCGTGGATCCAGCCGTCTGTGTGTGTGTGTGTGTGCGTGTGTGTGTGTGTGTGTGTGTGTGTGTGTGTGTGCGTGTGTGTGTGTGTGTGTGTTTCCATTTTGTCGCCTGGGGGGCCGTCCTCCTTGCTCGGTCGTCTGGTCGTGTCGTTCGCTGCCCTCTCCTCCCTCTCCTGGCCTCGGGTTCGTCCCGGTCTCTGGGCGTTGCCTCCTCCTGCTTCTCATGCTGTGCTCTTCGACTATACGCAAGACTGACCCTTCGCCGCAATGACTTTTGGTGCAGGCACATTGCAGGTCTCCACATGGCTGAGCGCGATGCGATAGCAGCGACTTGCGCGCTCGGGTCTTCTTTGCCTGCCCGTGCCGCCCCCTGTGGGTGTGGGCCCTCCTCGGCGCACGCTCGGCGGTCGTAAGCTAAGCGCATCCCGCGAACGCTCCCGCGAAGTTGGACCAGCTGGCCCGGCAAAAAGAGTGTGTGTGTGTGTGTGTCTTGCCTATTGCATCCGGACACCTCGCAATGCCGTCGCCCCGCTTGCCAGAGCGCGCGTGCGGACTGCCTCTGCTGCGCTGCGACGTAAAACAAGTCTGTGTGTGTGTGTGTCTTTTTCCCCGTCTTGCCTGGTGCATCCAGACAACTCGCAATGCCGTCACCCCGCTTGCCAGAGCGCGCGTGCGGGCTGCCTCTGCTGCTCTGCGACGTGAAACGTGTGTGTGTGTGTGTGTGTGTGTGTGTGTGTGTGTGTGTGTGTGTGTGTGTGTGTGTGTGTGTGTGTGTGTGTGTGTGTGTGTGTGTGTGTGCGTGTGTGTGTGTGTGTGTGTGTGTGTGTCCTTCTCCCCGTCTTGCCTCGTGCATCTGGACACCTCGCAAAGCCGTCGCCCCGCTTGCCAGAGCGCGCGTGCGGACTGCCTCTGCTGCGCTGCGACGTAAAACAAATGTGTGTGTATGTGTCCTTTTCCCCGTCTTGCCGCGTGCATCCAAACTATTCGCAATGCCGTCACCCCGCTTGCCAGAGCGCGCGTGCGGGCTGCTTCTGCTGCGCTGCGACGTAAAGCGTGTGTGTGTGTGTGTGTGTGTGTGTGTGTGTGTGTGTGTGTGTGTGTGTGTGTGTGTGTGTGTGTGTGTGTGTGTGTGTGTGCAATGCCGTGTGTGTGTGTGTGTGTCCTTTTCCCCGTCCGTGTGAAAAGACGCGTGTGTGTGTGTGTGTGTGTGTGTGTGTGTGTGTATGTGTGTGTGTGTGTGTGTCCTTTTCCCCGTCTTGCCTCGTGCACCCGGACAAGTCGCAATGCCGTAGCCCCGCTTGCCAGAGCGCGCGTGCGGATCGTCTTTTGCTGCGCTGCGACGTAAAACGCGTGTATTTTTATACTGCTGCAGCACACCGGCACCCTGTCGGTCGTTATAGGTGGCATGATCCTGGCGTGTCCTGGCTGCCGCGCCTCAGACTGCGGCTCGCGTACCCTGGACCCGTGGCACCCTGAACGACCACGATCCGGGCCACCCGCTCCCGCGTCCTGTTCCATGGCACAACTTTGCATTTCGGTTCAGCGATGCTCTCCACCCTCCCTGGTCGACGCCGCTTGGGTACAAGGCGCGTCCTGTCTCGCCGCCAACTCGAGGCTGGCGTACATGATGAGCCGTTGACAGCACCACCAACCACAGCATTTTGCTTCTACCGGTGCTTCGCCACCGGGTTCCTGTACAAGGCGTTTCTTTGCAAGCACGTCGTTTTCGGCACCGCCTGATCCCGAGGCTTTGCCTCCCCCTGGCATTGCCGTGAGGCCGCTCTCCTTCTGCCCCCCCCTCTTTGTTAATTCAAGCTTCGCGCGGCCCGCTTAGCTTCGACCGGAAAAGGTGCGCTCTCGACCCGCGAAGCAAAACAGTGTGTGTGTGTATATAGATAAATGTGTGTGTGTGTCCTTTTTTCCCGTCTTGCCTCGTGTATCTGGACAACTCGCAATGCCGTCACCCCGCTTGCCAGAGCGCGCGTGCGGGCTGCTTCTGCTGCGCTGCGACGTAAAACGAGTGTGTGTGTGTGTGTGTGTGTGTGTGTGTGTGTGTGTGTATGTGTCGTTTTCCCCGTCTTGCCTCGTGCCTCTGGACAATTCGCAATGTCGTCACCCCGCTTGCAAAAGCGCCCGTGCGGACTGCCTCTGTTGCGCTGCGACCTAGAACACACACGCACATGTGTGTGTGTGTCCTTTTCCCCGTGTTGCCTCTTGCATCCGTATAATTTGCTATGCCGCATCCCGCTTGCCAGAGCGCGCGTGCGGGCTGCTCTTGCTTCGCTGCGACGTAAAAGTGTGTGTGTGTGTGTGTCGTTTTCCCCGTCTTGCCTCGTGCATCCGGACAGTTGGCCATGCCGTCACCCCGCTTGCCAGAGCGCGCGTGCGGACTGCCTTTGCTGCGCTGCGACGTAAAAGGGCTCACATGTGTGTGTGTGTGTCCTTTTCCCCGTCTTGCCTCCTGCATCCGGACACCTCGCAATGCCGTCGCCCCGCGTGTGTGTGTGTGTGTGTCTGACGTCAGCTTCCTGGCATGCTTGTCTGTTTGACCCACGTTGTCCGCAGGCGCCGTCCAGGACTGGCCGTGGGCGACCAATTCCCAGACGTCGTTGGCGCGAATCGTGACGTTGCTGATCCTCCCCGTTCCTCCTCCCCGTAACGGCCGTTATCACGTTATCGCGAGAGGCCTTAAGTTGGCATCGCTCGGACGTGTGCGTTGTTTCTCTGCGAGGACCATGGAGGCGCATCTTGGATCATCTCGCGACAAATATAACGCACGAAACCGAACAATGCACGGGAAACGGACGTCCGGGCAATGACAAGTTAATAAACAGGCTCCAGTCGGCGTCGCCCAACATACTAATACTATGTGTGCGTCGCCCCCCCGAGGGGCGACGAGCGCATCGATAAATCTCAAAGTGTATGCGTCGTGGCGGGCGCTTTCTGGCCACGCCGCTCGGGAAACGATGTATACTACAATCAGGTTATACGATATGTTCGGGCC